GTACAAATATCCACGGAAGGCGCAGTAATATTTTCATTAAAAAAAAAAAAACTTGGTAAGAAAAAAATTACATCTTATTTTGATAAATTAAAATTCTTCTATAAATCGAGAACATGTATAATTTTTTGTTTGAGTAAAAAGATAGATAGGTAATTAAAATTTTATATTGTTGTAAAAATACGTAATGAACATAGTTTAATTTTATTATTTTTCGTAAATGTAAACATAAACCATGCATAAACTACCGGCATGCGCGTGCATGCTTTTTATATAGTAGTTGAAGGTACAAATTGGCATCACGGAGCAGCAGTTGCAATGTAAACAGTTTTGTCTTATCTACCGTGTCTGCCGTTTTCCTGTCTTATTAAAAAGTTGTTGTATTTTTTAATCTAGCTGCACATCTTACAGGTATTTTTATACAATTTTATTACACTTGATATGTATGTTTGTGGTTCCGGTACAAAATTTGTAATCGATTTTTCGATAACTTATATTTGTTCAAATGTTGGAAGTTTTCTTCCAGTTTTGGTCATATTAAAAGTTTTGTTATTCTGATGATGGAAAAAATTATTTGTTTCTTTTTAGTGCAGTTACATAAATTAATAAAATTATATTTTTCAAAAGATTTTTTTAAAATTTTATTTTCATTAATTTAATAATGATAATAATTTTGTACTGATGGCTTTAGAAAATAATATATTTGGAATGTTTTTATAGGCGCCCCAATTAACATGGCTACCAAAAAAAAAAAAAAAAAAAAAAGCAAAGGAAACCGGGAGATGAAAACCGCGAATTGAAACTTGAGTGGACCGAGAATTTTGCGTTTATTCAAACTTGAATGGACTTTCGTCTTATTTGTAAGGAGAAATTCGCGCATAACAAGAAGTCAATTTTAAAGAGAAACTTTACGAGAAAGCACGCGTCATTTAGCACTAAATATCTTACCGGTGATGCAAGGAGGAAAACAGTTGAGGAACTTCAGAAGAGTCAAGAGTCGTCAACTTCTGTGTTTAATAACTGGATGCAATCTTCCAGTAATATTAATATAGCAAATTTTGTTTGTAGCCAAGAGATTGCTAAGAAAGGAAAACCGTACACAAACGGCGAATACATAAAAAATTGTTTTATAAATGCATCCGAAGAGCTATTTCGGGATTTTAAGAACAAAGCAGATATTCTGAAAAGAATTAAAGAGTTACCATTGTCTGCTAAAACCATTAAAGATAGAACAATTAAATTGTGTTCGAATATAACCACCCAGCATATCGAAGATCTGAAATTGGTTTCGGCTTTATCAATAGCAGTTTGACGAGTCATTGTGACATAAATGATACAGTGCAAGTTTCACTTTGTGTAAGATTTATGTCTCATTCAGGCTCTAAAGAACTTTTTAGGATTATTGCCACTCAAAGGTCAGACGCGTGGAGAAGATATCGCCAATGCTGTAATTGGAGTGTATTGATAAACATCATATTCCCCTCGATAAAATTGTGTCGATTTCAACAGATGGGGCCAAAAGTATGACCGGCGTAAGAAAAGAGGTTGTTGCTATTTTAAACGAAAAAATTAATCACGAGACACTTGTTTACCATTGTATCATTCATCAAGAAGCGCTTTGTGCTCAAACATTTCCGGAAGAAATTTGTAAAGTTATGGAATTAGTGATTACCATTATCAACTCCATTTTAGCTAAAGCTCTTAACCATCATTGAGCGGTAACGTCGCTGAACATTGGTAGTTCGGTCCGATGTTCGAATCCCGCGAACGGGCTGGCTGCATGGGTGTTTTCGTGGTTTTCCCCATGTGTAACGTGTATACGAGCCAGTTTCCTTTAAAAAAAGTCCTCCACGAAGTCATCCCTCCCTTAAGGCAGATAGCCCTCGAGTGCTTTGCCGTAATCTAATGAACCAAACCTTAATCACCGCCAAATCAAAGAATTTTTATTTGAAATGGAGAGTGAGTACGCTGATCTTCTGCTTCATAACAAGGTACGTTGGTTATCAAGAGGGAACGTTTTAAATCGTTTCGCGTCCCTTTTTCCGGAAATTAAAAAATTTCTCCCTGAGAAGGGCGTTCACTATCCAGAACTAACAGACGATCAGTGGATACAAAACTTTTATTTCATGGTAGACGTTACGTCTCATCTAAATTAGCTTAATCGTAAACTACATGGGAAAGGAAACTTAATTTTTTCGATGTTAGAAGAAGTAATAACATTCGAAAACAAATTATCCATTTTTGCACAGGATTTTGAAAGGGAAACATTGTTTCACACTTTCCGAGCCTGCTGAAGCATCGTCAAGAAAATAACTCCTCTATTGATAAACACCATTTTAAAACAATAATTTTAAATATGAGGGAAGCATTTCTCAGCAGGTTTCAGGAATTTAAAAACAGCAGAGCAACTTTAGCGTTTGTCAAAAATCCTCTTAATGCTACGATAACCGAGTTGAAATTTTCTCCTTTTGAAACTGACATTAGTAGCTTTGAAATACAATTGCTGGATTTAAAAAACAAGGACATATGGCTCTCTAAATTTGAACGTCTTTGTGTTGAATTGGAAATAATGGAGAAGAAAAAATGTGATCTTAGTTCACAACCCAAGTGGTCTGCTTTGAATGACTTGGAGAAGGAAGGCATGATTCATTTTCGCTTGGAATAGTATTCCTGACTCTTAGGATCAGCCGGAAAAGCTCGCGTTTGCTGTTCTTTCCCTTTTCGGTTCTACATATATATGCGAACAATCTTTTTCAAGCATGAACATTATCAAGAGTAAACTGAGAAGTCGTCTTATTGACGAGAACTTGGAATCATGCCTAAAATTAAAAACAACAATATACAAACCTGACTTACTCAAACTTTCCAAGGAGATGCAAGCACATTGTTCGCATTAATAAATATTTATTAAGTATTAAATTTAGTTTTATTTAGTGTAATAAATGTTTACTAAACAAGCAGATTTGGCTCCCAATTTTTTTTAAATTGTTGTAATGTTCATATTTGGCTCTTTGGCTAATAAGTTTGCCGACCACTAGACTAGGGGATCGATTAGGTATTTAATGAATAGGGGATTAGAGTACTCAGTGATTAAGGATTAAGGATTTAATTATTAGGGGATTAGAGTACACTATTCTTAACAACTGACACTTGTTAACTGTAATTCGCTACCATCTTTCTGATGTATAATTTTTCTGATCTGAATATAGTCTAAACCAGTTAGTTCTACGAGTTCTTGGCCAAAGAGGTGTTGGTGTATTTAATTATGGCAAAGCACACGAGGGCTATCTGCCTAAAGGGAGGGATGCCTTTCGTGGAGGACTTTCTAAGGGAAACTGGCTCGTATACACGTTACACATGGGGAAAACCACGAAAACGCCCATGCAGCCAGCCCGTTCGCGGGATTCGAACCTCAGACCGAACTACCAGTGTTCAGCGTCTTTACCGCTCGGCCGCTGGTGGGCCCCTTGGCCAAAGAGGAAAGGGTTGTATTTATTGTTGGCCTAGGCCTGTTGCCTACTTTGCACATGACCGTACGAGATTTCTCACCTTTGTCCTAATTTTGGCGGAGAAGCCAATCGGTGACGAATACGGAGATCTCTTCCCCTCTTAATTTAAGGATTTCGTATCAGCAGTACATCCAGTGACTTTATGCCGGAAAAAAAGGATACAAACATCAATGTCGTTCCCTGAATCCTTACCCCAGCTTTTCTTCAAATACAGAATTTTCATCGAGCGGCTCTGTCGAAGCGCTGGCATTGTCGTACTTAAAAATCTTTACACAATCTTTACGTAGTTAGCGAGACTCATAATCCATATCGCTTGTACCAAATGTATAAGTTTGTAATATCACAAACGTTTATCAAATAATCTCTACGAAAGGCATGAAAATCTTTATTTTGGACTAAAATAAGTACAAAAACTTTTTACAACTAATCAATAAAAACGCATCATATCATACGTCCATCTCTCACTTTCACCAGAAAAATCTCTATTGTTCGGCGCACTTGCCCCTTTATAGCTCTCAGCACAATGAAATACACACGTACTTTGAGATGCTTGCAATGAAATGCAAACGTGACATTGCACGTGCTGAGCTCCTGACATTCGCTGTTTTTACAGCGGTCGCATGAAACCACGCTTGATAATGGTCGCTACATATCTAAAGCGATATTTATATATTATGAATAAATACGATAGTGTATGATTAATAAACTATCCACTGTGTGATTACCAATATTAAATGGAGTCGCCAGAACACGCTCTCCAACTGAAGCGACCCAGACTTCTAGACTTCTGCTTAAATGTTCGTTTCTACCTCATTTGCGTAAGTACTAATCTTGAAAACTCATTCTAGCAGGTAAATGTAGTTGGTAAATTAGAATCTGTAGGAAAGACTTGTTCCAAAATAAAAACAGCTATTAGGAAATTAAAGTAAAGCCCTACAAAGTAATGAACATTTAACTACAGAGAAGCAAAAATATTTCTTCCATTAATTTATTAATGATTAATATCAATAATAATAAGTAATTTTTAGATTAGAATTTTAATGCTGAATTTATTTCATTGACTTCTGGATTTTAGAGTAAAATTACAGGAAAGGATGTTATAAATGAAAATTTTGCGAAACATGATTTTTGAATTTGTTCCTGCTTCCATTAAAGTATTAAAAATTCAGTAATGAATGTAACAGTTTCTAAATTTAATGCAAATATTTTTATATAAAGCAACTGTTGTGGTCGGTTGGTTTAAATGTAGAAAAATGTGGTAGCTTTCCATTGATGTATTGAAGGGCTTTGAAACCTCACTCCGGCAAGAAATTACTAAACGATTACTCGTCCATTCGTTTCCTATGCAATTGGATGTTATAAGAGGCTATTAAAGGCTCTTTCTAGGACTGCTGAAATAGGGGACTCGCACTCATGCCTTATAAATTCATTAGTAGTTATCATTAAGATAAAAATTATCTTTAAATAACTAATGACTTTTCATTTGCTTTTCAGCTGCCGATATCTTGTCTAATTTAGATGAAACTGCGAAACCTTGCGATGATTTTTATAAATTCGCCTGTGGTGGTTGGATTAAAAGACAAAATATTCCTGAAGATAAATTAACTTTCAACGTGTTTGAAAAAGCAAGATCTGATGTCAAAATCAAATTTAGAGGTAATTTAAAATTTTCTATAAGAATTTTAGTAGACTGTAATTACTTTAATAGTAATATTTGACCAAGATGCGATGTTTTCAATGTTAAACTTTTAAGAACAAAAGTATGTTTTGTATTTCGTCTTAGTATGACTAAAGTTTTCTCATTTACTTTAAAGAAAACACGTGCATTTGCCTTTTTTCGTTGTACGGAATTAGCCATTTAACATCTTTGCCTTCAAGGATTTATTATTTACAAGTACGTGTCTGGCAACAACGAGCTATGTTAGCTCTTCAAGCGATCACCTTCTTGGAATGATTTATGTCGAGATCCCGAAGTCCCCAGTGACCATATCTCTTTTTCATACCGCTTTCACCTTCCTTTTCTCTCCCTTACGGTTTTCCTTTTCTGAGAATGGGGCTCTTGTATGATGCTGTAGCTGCTCTTCTTTTTTAAAAGAATTTTATGCCTGCAGAAAATCAGACCGACCTTGTTTTACGCAGGACCTGCCTAGGCAGCAGCTGTGAAAACAAATAGAAACATCTTACAAAATAAATGTTTGCGTATCATTCTGAGTGCATCATGGTGTGTTAGAAACTCAGTGATTCATAACGATCTGAATATTCTACTTATCAGCACAAAAAGTCTTAGTATCACTCACACCTTCTATCAAAATTGTGAAAAACATTCGCATGAAATTGTCAGGACAATAGTAGATTATGACTACCTTATCGAACAACCACATAAGGGAGCCAGAACTATTTTAATCCTTGAACTCTATTGATTTTATTTTAGTGCTGCATTGGACAGCGTACGATAGCCGATAAGTTATCGTCACTGCTTACTTATGAGGTTATGAGTTCGATACCAGACGAGCTCAATGAAACATTTTCTAGGACTTGTATATATTTTCATTTTTTTATTATTTATTTTATTCAAGATTACAGTGTCTTCATGTTATTTATGTGAGATTTCTCAGTTTTACTGGCATCAAGATTTAAGTGTTCACACCCAATGTGAACTTCAAATTTAGTGGGACTTGTAAATATTATTTTACGCTCATCTTTTATGTGTTTCTAGTTTATTTTATGTATCTCATTATTTCAAAGATTTCTACTCGTGCTATCTGCGAAGATTCTGACCTGTACAAGCTGACCTGTACTTGCTTCAAGCTTCATCTGCCGCGGTCAGTATTTGGGAGAGTGACCCCTTCTTCTCTTCTTTATTTCGCATTACATCTCGGTATTTTTAAATTTTTTGTTATAAATGTCACATTTCTTAATTTATTTATAAACGTACAATTGCACTAATATTTAAAATGTAACTACGGCTTAATTTAGTATTACACTAAAAATATTAAAGTGATCGTAGCCATTTATGAAGTATTTAATAACGAAAATGAATGACCAGATGAAACCTCAAAATCAAAAATTCGTGTGCAAAGGATATTGCAGAACAAAAATTTCAAGAAACAGCAAAAACTAATTCTCAAATATAAAATTTAATTTGTACACATATCTCTCTTCTTCAGTGACATTTATACTAGGATTGACTATCTGCGAATGAATTTCGCCAACACCCTGTGCGTTTGCTTCACCACATACTGTCTTCGATTTGAAAGTCACATGAGGCGAGCAAGGCTGGTTTACATAATGTCCACGAGAGCTTGCCTTCTCCTTTCATTTTCTTTGTTAAAAGGGTTAACTTATCCCAAACTTAGTATCGAGGGCTCAGCTATGAATGATCCGGTGATAATGCTGTTGTAGGGCATCTTTGATCGAATGCATCTGGGTAGCCCTAGCATTGGATCCTAAGTCGTCTTGTTGGGCTCCATACTGGACAAGGCAAGCGGATCCAAATATTGTCCTTTCAAACAATACTACTTTTTTATCTCATACTTCTAAAAATTGATCTGATGCTTTAAATTTGACCAAAAGATTAGGAGCTGATATGGACAGCACTGAACTTGAACGTTTCTCATAACTCCTAGTAGTAGTAAGTTCTACAGAATTACAAAAAATGTTACCTTTTCTAACAAACAGTTTTGGCCGAAAAATAAAACCTACCAATGAAAAAATACCTACTGTCTGATGATTGTCTGGTAATAATTGCAGCAAGAAAACAGGCTGTTCTAAAATTAACTAAAGCAGAATAAACAAACATCAGGCTGAAGTCGCACATCCTATATTAGTCCCGACGAGTAATCTCAGAGGTTGATTTTCAATCAGCACCTGAAGCGGAGTTCTTTAAAAGACTGGCAAATCAAAATGTCTGTGATGTTCCTAAAATCAAAATACCGAAAGAAGTCAACCGTTTTCAACTAAGTACGACATACTCAGTTGATCTACATAACACCTAATTTTCCCAGATATATCAAAAACTGAATACTTAAAATATTCTTGTGTTCGAAAACAGTGTTTCAATTTTCACAAAATTCATTTAAACACGGATTAGAATTTTTTACTAAGCATACAAATTTAAGAAGACTTCTGTCTACCGTATTTGGTTGACTGTTTTCTGAGATATTTTCCATAGGTGTTACCTATGGAACCACTTGTTGACCTAACTAGTTCTAGAATAATATATTAACACTTTAATTTAGAATTTGTGCCGTAATAATTAAATTAAGCGATTTAAAGATGAATTCGTTAATTGTTACATACATTAGTCTTTAATTCCCCTGTAGTAGCTTTATGCAGAAATAAATAAATAATCATGCGCAAGGGATTAAACTACGTGTGCCTTGAAAATTCGATTAAGAATGCTAAAAAGAAACAATTTTAACTTACTCCACCAACGTATAATGTCAAGAAGATACATTAAAGATCACATGAAAACTATTTATTCTCAGAAGTTGACATACTTATATGGCCAAGTTAAAGATAAAATTTAAATTTAGTTCTTACAAAAATATTGCTCAGATCGATAAACAGTCTCAACGATTTCAATTCGGTTACTGGCGTTGAAACACTAGACATGCCTTTTGTTTAAAAGTGCAGATGGAAATGACGCCAAGCTTCTAATTATTATTCATGAAAGTTTTAATAATGGCTAGCTATAAAAGAGGAATATAAGAGGTAAATAATGTCCCAGATAAATAATTACTTGTTATTTGTCCAATAATTGCTTCCATCTTCTAATCTCAGGACTCCTCGCTATAGCATCTAAGACAGAAATCGACGCTAAGCGCGGATCTTTTTTGACGCTTCTCACAGTCCAAGTCGAAGAATCTGATAAAATGAGATTTTTTCTCCATCGTGCAGAGACGTTTGTAACGATTAATTTGGAACTGGTCTCAATAATGTTATATGTTTGATGAATAAAAAACAGCTATATAAAGAAAGTTTCCTCTTAAAGAAAGAAGTTATTTCATTTGCTTAAACTCTGTTTTATTCTATTTCCAGCTCTCTTACGCAAGGAGTTGACGGGAGCAGAACCTGACTACATTCACATGGTTAAACGTTTGTATGACTCCTGCATTGACCTGAGTAAGTGTCATTTCGTATGCCTCTTTATCATTTACTTTTAAGTATGGTGGAAACTTCAAGATGTTACCACGTTCCAGTATGGGTTTGAGTTATTAATTCCAATTTATAAAGTATTTCTAAAACGATATGTAAGTTACTTCCTGCGATTAATTTGAATTCTACAATTCTAGTAAGAGAGTCAGGAGAACTTTTTGCCCCATCTTTTAACTTAACTACTGAAACAGAAGAACACATATATTTTTATTTAAAATTATAAACTGAACAACTGCATGACTTGTGCTTACAAATTAAGCTTGTGAGAATTAAGCTTATAGCTTGTGGGGTATCATTAACAGAAAATATGAACTTAAAATGTAAACTAAAAAGATGCAGAAGACTATAATGCACTCAGCCTAACAAGCGATGGCTCAAATTAGTAAGTGCATCTTTGATTTAGTACATGCTAGTAAAATGACTTAGTACCTGCTTTAGCCTGCTCCTGCTAGTAAAACGTCATTAGCCATTTTACTAGCATATCTAGTACAATGGCTAATGCCAAATAACTAATTCGCAGAACTAGGTTGGAGAATCGTATAATAAAACTTTGTCAAACTCAAGAATTACGTCATTAATATATTGCGTTTACGGCAAAATCAGTGTTATCCTTCTATAAAGAAAACATGTTAAATTTAATTCAGGCTAAGAAAGTATGTGTAATTAAAAAAAAAAAGAAACCTAAATATATTATGTAATTATAAGAAAAGGAAAACGAAACAGATATTAATTGAAAGAATATTACTGCTTAAATACGTGTGACAATTATTTTTTAAAAATGCTGATGATTTTTGCTTGGGACAATGACTAATGGAATTATTTAAGTTTCGTGATTAAGGAGTCCAGAACTTTTCAGTGCTTCTCATAAAGTATCCTCTTCTTCCTTTATTTGGGTGCTACATTGAGAAATCAAATAATTCTTTCTGCCTTATTTTAGATTTTTTGCTTTTAAGATTCGTTTAACTCCTTATAATTTAAAGGCCCTTTATCTGCGTCATTATGATTGCTCTCATTGCCAGTTGGTGTTGTAAGATCATTCAAATCTTTATTTGTCACTTATCGGTTAATTCTTTGACTTCCCTTTCTTCCATATCTGAAAATCATTAGTCTCCAACTGCTTTTAGAATTTGTGCGATTTTGGCTTCGTTTTCAGTAAATGGAAATTCTTCAAATTTGTTGATAACTTCTGGCCAGAGCTGAAGCTAGCAAGTATTCAATGTTTATAAATCAACACTAAAGCGAATATGAAAGAAATTTCAGAACTGAACGTATTAAATGGAAACAATTAAGATAACGCGTATGTGCGAAATCACATTCCACAAATCCGCTATTGGCAGAACTTTACTGTACTGTCAGTATCGCGACCCAAAGTTCACTATACTCTGTTTTAAATACTCGCAACTTATATGCATCCTGATGAGAGCTAATGAAAAGAAGTGACAGTACAGTTTCTAATAATAAGAAAATGGATTAATGGACAAGAAATAAACTTCGCAAATATAGTAAAAGCTAACAAACTGAGTCTTCCGTCAAACAGAAAGACTATTTTTAGCCCAAAGGACGTTAGCCCAGAAGGGCTATTAATTTCAAAACAGCATTTTGCGTCGATTCACTTTTCAAGCTGTTGCCACTAAATATTATTATTTTCTTTTCAAATGGCGGGCACTTGCCTATAACGGCATTGGCCATTCCTTAAGGCCAGAAGTGTTGGCCATTTTATCGTAAAGGCACCTAAATAGGTGGCCACCGTTATCTCCTATGAAGGAACAGACAATTTTACATCCATGCATTTTCCGGTATCGCGCAGTCACAGTCAGTCTCCCTTAACCACTTTACCGTCTGAGAGGCCAAATAAATATTATTGCTATGTATTATATTTAAAGAAACTAAATAACGAAGAATCTGCATGAATGTTTGTGGCGCTGTGAAAAAACAACTATCCTAGAGCCATCAAATTTTGAATAACGTAGTCTTCCAACCGAACATGGGAGCTTGGAAGCCCGAATTTTGAATTTCGAATTTGTTTTATTATCTATTTCAAATTTTGTAAAACTTTAACGAATTTTTGATTAACAAACTCAACGGTTTCAAAGCAAGCAATGGCAACATTTTATTAACATTTATTTAACAAAATAACATTTTTATCTCCAGCGCGCGAGAGACTGTGTATCGGAAATTCTAAAGATATGCTGTTTTGCTGTTTTGCTGTTTTTAAAAGTATTTTGTGATATTGTTGTTGAATTGAATTTTATGTGTTTTAAGTGCGAAGAACATGATATTTAATACATAAAAGTAACACATAAAACGTTAAAAAATGCACTTTTCTGCTTAATATAAAATCTGAAAGCCTTCAGATTTCCTGTCTTTTGTTCATACTTTCTTTAATTTAAAAAACGTTAGTTTTTTGTTTTAGGAATAAAATTCAAGTCATGCAGTTTCTCTTTAATATGTATGCATAACTTTCGTAATATAAGAAACCGAAGGAAAGTTCTCAGGATAATTGATTCATAAAACCAGGGCCAAAAACATGTAATCCTTTGAAGTATGGAGCTTTTAAACAGTAACATATAAAACATACGAAGTTTGTTTCTGTATTTTATTGCTCTATCAGCAAACAAAGCAATAGTTGCCTTTATTTTTATTTTTTTGCTATAGTTGTTGTAGTTGCATTTATTTTATTTGTGTATTTATTTATTGCTATAGCCGTTGTCTTTATATTTTAGAGATTTTAAAGAGAAAATTTTAAAATTATTTATTTTAAAACACAAAATATCTGAAAGCGTTCAGATTTTATATTATGCCCCAAGCGGCGCTTTTTTAACGTTTTGTGTGTTACCTTTATTTATTAAATAGCATGTACTTCGCACTTAAACTATAAAAATTCAATTCAACGGAAATGTCATAAAATATTTAAAAGAGCATAATCTTTAGAATTTTCAATACACAGTCTTCCGGGCTGGAGATAATTTTTTTTTCGTACAGTGTTGCCATTGCTCGCTTTGAAATCTTTTGAGTTTCTTAATCAAAAACTCATAAATGCTTTACAAAATATGAAATAGATAATAAAATAAATTCCAAATTTCGGATTCCAGATGGCCATATTTGAGTGGAGACGTACGTTATTCAAAATTTGATGGCTCTAGGTATTGTTTTATCACAGTCCGAGAAACATACATACATTTATGCAGATTCTTTATTATTTAATTTCTTTAATTGTAATACAGGGCTCTAATATTTGATGGCAATAATTTAAAAAGTGATTCGCCGTTTATAGTAAATCAACGCAAGATGCCGAAACGAAATTAATAGCCCTTCTGGGAAAATTGCCCCTTTGGGCTAAAAATGTAATTTCACTGGATTAATCTACTTCATTAAGTTGGCTTAACCTAACCAGAGTGGGTGAAAATTAATATTAGATATGAACTGCTACAAGAAAGGAAAACAGAATTAATTTCAATGAGGTACGAAATAGATACGAAATGATGAGCATAGCATCATTTGAATCATAGATGCCTAATGGTATAGAAATGTTTCAAATATTTACACACCGAGAATTTCTTAAAAGACAAATACAGCAAATAGAGTCTTTTAGTTGCATGTCAAAAGAAATATAATTAGATATTCTTATAACGGGATTTTGTTTTCAATGTGTGCTTGCTTAGAAAGCATCGAGAAAGCGGGCAGCAAACCTCTGAGAAATGCTCTGAGAGATCTTGGAGGCTGGCCGGTGCTAGAAGGAAAACACTGGAATGAGACTTCTTTTGACTGGATTGCTACTCTCACCGAATTCCGAAAAATGGGATTCGATCATAATATCCTGATGAACTTGGTTGTTACAAGAGATGCAAAGAACAATATGACTCCCATCTTAAAAGTAAGTGCAGTAGCTTATCCGAGATTGTTTAGACCGTTATCAGCCCGAATATTTGAAAACTCTGATAAGATATTAATCACACGAATTTTCATGCGACAAAGCTTACTGAATTTTTTATTTGAAATCCTGAAAATAAATGCACAAGTATAACTATTAATTAAAGACTCTCTATCAACAGATAAAATTTGTTTCCTTTAATTAACAAATAATTCAAACAAAATTTTGTTGTGACAAAAATATTCATGCAAATTTTGGAATAAATAAGCATTATCAAAGTTACGCAAATTGTGAAATGTTTTACATGCATTTTTATGAAACATTTTTTTAAACTGTGTTAATCACATTTTGTGATAGTCCTCTAACTCTATGAGCATCCGCGCAATCATGCCAGGTTTTAGCCAACAAAAGATCCCTAGGAAAAACATCTGGGTATTGCTTTGTATTTATATTTATAAAGGAGTTTTGATGAAGGCTTTAGCGCGTGTTATTGACCGAGTGGTATAACAATTTAAGTTGGTAGTTCGTAGCGGTTTCAAATTCCGGCGAACGGTCTTGGCTGCATATAAGTATTCATGGTTTTTCCTATTCGTTAATGTGTACAGGGTACTGCCTAATTCGATGACAAATTCAGAGATGTGATAATAGGTATCAAGAGGATGAAAAATTGAGATAGAACATGGAATTGCAAACCACGAGCAAGTACTCATTGGTGGGCATTGTAGAATTTGTCGGCTTTAAACTTCATCTGGAAACGATAATGAGGAATATGCGTATATGTATCTGATTTTATAAGGTATTTTTCCCGCCTTCCTAGCGTGTCTTCGTGGTGTAGTGGTTCTGCACACTGGGCCGGTATTCCAGAAATGCGTGGTTCGATTTCCGGCGAAGACTCATTTTTCATCTTGCCTGCTTCCAAAAATACCTAATGCCTCTACAGTGGCGCTCGAACTAAAAAGGATTGTGGATGATGATTCTCCTCACCCAGGATTTGGAGACTAGGTCTCCTAAAACATTTCGCCCTTTAAAAAGGGAAGTATATAAGGTATTTCTCTCGCTTTCCCAGCTGCCTTCGTGGTGTCGTGGTCAGCACACTGAGCCGGTATTTCAGAGGTCCGTGGTTCAATTCCCGTCGAAGGCGGTTGCTAATTTTTCATCTCACTTGCTTCCAAAAAAAAAAAATCCTAATGTTTCTGCAATTTGTAACCGAGCAGGCTGCAGTGGACGCCTAGCACAGATGATGTACCAAGAGCAATATTCGAGAGGACATTATCCGCACCATACCATCTTTACGAACATCGATCGATGGCTGCAGGAGATGGGATCCTTCCAAATAACGAGATGTAATGCAAGGCAAGAACCCAGTGTGCGCACACCTGAAACAGAAAATCGAGTATTGCAACAGTTTGCAGTTACTCCATCGACTAGTACACGATGTATTGCAGCTGTGGGTTTTCGTCATAAAAGGGTTTCGAAGGTTCTGTGAGCAGAAACCTTGCACCCCCTTCGACGTCAAACTTCGACGTAAGTCAAACTCGTAGGCGATGCCAACTATCCCCTTCGGAGAGAATTCGTATTCAGTGTGATTGATGCCACATAGAATGATTCACAGTTTCTCGCCACTTTTTCATTCTCAGATGAAGCCTATTTTACAAGGAGACCTGGTCAACCGCAAAAAACGCATATATGATTGTTCGAAAATCCCTTCAACACTTTGTTATCGAAAATGCAACACAAGTTGGGAATTAACATTTGGGCAGGGATTCTCGGAGATCATCTGTTGGGACCGTACCTTCTGCCCGAACAACTCTATGGGGAAAATTACCTTGTTTCTTTTTACATTTAGCTAGACGGTAGACACTAGACCTAGATACTTTTTACCTTGATTTTTACATTTCGCTAGACGGTGGACACCAGGCATAGGTACTTTTATGACCATGCACAGTTAATTATCCACCTCTAGTGGCGAAGTCCCCGCGGTCAACCCGAGAAGAAAAAGTAGGAAGTCGTAGGTAACACGGTCAACAAGGGTCAAGTCTATTACTACATTCAGGGTATTACGGTCCGCCAGGGTCAACGCAACTTCTGCTTGAAAACAAAGTTTGTGGCGGCCACTCGCAAACGGACTCCAATCGGTCACAACCAGACCACCGGAGAGAAATGAAAAGTTCCCACGAATGGACCAACGGAGAATAAAACCCAGAAGGCCACTAATCAAAATCAACATACGTAACGACACCACAACCAAGGGCCAGACAAGACAGTACCAGTACAGTCCCTGCCTAGCCTGAGTATACCATCGAAGAACCGATGATTCTAGTCTGATTTTATTCCTCCTTTATCGAGGCTGCCTAGATGCAGATCCTAACCAGCACACAACAGAGTTATCTCCGCCGACGTACGGGAGTCTTGTTTTCCTACAGCGCGTCCCGCGATTTGATGCAGGGAGTATCGGCTACTGGGCGCCAGAGCATTTAGCTCATGATGGTGCACCACCACATTTTGCTATTGCTGCCAGTCGCAATCATCTCGATGCTATATATCCCGGGAGGTGGATTGGACGCGATGGACCTGTTACTTAGCCTGCACGCTCCCAGGACCTCGCTTCCTTAGACGAATACAGACGAATTTTCTTCTTCTAGGACCACCTGTATTCGGCTGTTTATCAGACGCCTGTGGATTTAGTGAAGGATCTGACAGCACACTTCAACAGATACCGTCAGTGCAGTATATTCTTTTGAAAGCCCCCGGTAACCCTTCCTCTTTCGGCATCTTCGAACAATTTTGTTAAAATGTCTTATCATCTCCTTTCTGGCGTCGAATAGCTATGCGTTGTAATCCTTCTTTATGTCAAATAATTATTTTTCGACTTATTATTAGACCATTGCTCCATTCTATGTTACACCCTTCATGACTATTTCTCTTAATATCTCCAACTAGAGGTGGTTTGTGACCCTAACTTCTGCGGCATTTTACTTCCTCTTGATGCCTACTATTCCTCCCTCTGAATTTCTCGGTCGAATTCGCCAATACTTTGTATATGAACCAATTTATCTCAAAAAATCCTCTGGGAAGGCATCATTCCTCTCTTTAGGAAAAGAGCTCTCACGTGCTTCGCCATAATTATAATAAAACAAGATTTCCGATAACCAAGATGGCTAATTTTCACGTTTTATTTCCTCCTTTCGAATATTTTACATTTGCTTATTCCGAAACGTTTCTTTTTATCCTTTGAAACATGTTTACGAATCAATTGTCAGTTTGTAAGACCGTTTTTTTGGTTCAACGTGTAGAGACATTAGGTTAATTGGTAAAGCCGGAGAGATGAAAAATTAACAACGCCTTCGCCGGGAATAGAACCACGGACCTCTGGAATACCGGCCCAGCGTGCAGAACCACTACACTCCGAAGGCACGCTAGGAAGGCGGGAGAAATACCTTATAAATTTACGGTCAAATTAAAATGCTACCGTGATTCTGAGTAAATTCTCACGCTGGAATTTCTAAACTCTAAAAACACACAGACACAGAAATAGGTTAACTTTAATTTTCATCATCCAAGACCTCCTACTATGGACATATTTCACGTAGCAGTATCACAATAACATTAATTTTGTTTTACCTCGCCACTTGTGATGGCTAAAATTATACAACACAAAATAACCAATTACCTGTATCTAGATGAAACGCAAGGTTCCCTTAAACCTTATAAATTCAAAAAATATAATTTATCCTAAAGCTTTGTCTGAGATTTAACTTATTAAAAACCAAAAATATCCTAGCGATATTCTATTTAGTTCTAGATAAGAGTTAATGGAATGGGCAAAAAAATTTTCCACGGCAACACAGTATCGGCGGGGAATATCAAAAATTCTCACATAAATCTACGCCTTTATAGCAAAACTACTTCCTACTAAAATCGGCATAAATTCTGGAACGAGCAAACCTTCTGGAAAAATGAGGGAGATAAGTCGAATGAGGGAAATAATGAGAGATATGAAGTAAATAGCATTTGGTTCGTCAAATTTAAAAACTGAATGCAATAAGTTAGTGTTGAATTTTCACACAAATAAATCTTTTTTTTTTTTTTTTTTTTTTTTTTCCGTAACGAACAATAGAAAGATCGTTAAATGACCCATTAGTGATACGAAAAACCAAAAGATCCATCACAGATAAAATTCGAGAATGTTACTGCTTTTACTGTGTCTATTTTCCCAGTTATTTTTTTAAACTGCTTGCTTGCTCAGTTAAGAGAGTGCTCTTTGATAGAGGCCAGAATAATGGAGTTTCTACTGTATATATGGTTGATCAGAACTGCATATGCTGACTATATATCGCATCTCGTTTTAAATCAGTATTTCTGCTAAAACGCTTTACTGCCGCTACCTTAGACCAAATGTTAAACAGCTTTGAAATAATACATTATTGTTGACAAAATAATTCTGAGCATAAATCAATGGAAACAAAACCAAATCCGACTGAATTTTATTCTAGAAAACTAGAAAAAGATTAAGAGATATATGTACTTGTACGAAATAAAAATTTTAGGTGTATGTAGTATGTGACAGATATCTTAAGCGCTGTTCACGGGCCCACCAGCGGCCGAGCGGTAACGTCGCTGAAACTGGTAGTTCGGTCCGAGGTTCGAATCCCGCGAACGGGCTGGCTGCATGGGTGTTTTCGTGGTTTTCCCCATGTGTAACGTGTATACGAGCCAGTTTTCCTTAAAAAGTCCTCCCTTAAGGCAGATAGCCCTCGAGTGCTTTGCCGTAATTTAATAAACCAAACCAAACTAAGCGATGTTCACACTGGGATTTATTTGAATTAATAGAGACGGTTCCATGTATGGACTAGCTCCTCTATACGTGAAGTTCAGACTTTTCAGCTGAAGAAATAAATATTTTCTCGAAAATGTAGAGCAGCGTTGGCTGCGTCCGAAGTCTCCGCTAGATCAGATAAACCCTAGTGTGAATGACCCTTTAGAATCGCTTTATATAAATATAT